TATTATGATAAATAATAAATGAGCTATAATTTATCATAGTCGCAACCGATTATTATCGTCAAAATCATAAATATTTTCTGTCCGTGATGATAAAACTATATAGCTAGCTCATCCATTCTATGTTTTCAGCACGGAACACTTGACGACATCCAACTACACAGTAATCGGCGTTGGCTACGGTGGTGCTGGCGGTGGAGGTGGAGGTGGAGGTGTCAATGGTGGTTCCTACCCTGGTTCAGCGAGGACCAGTGCAGGCACATCGTTGGCGTCTTCCCGAGAGTCCAGTTGCGCCAGCTGTCCAGGCATCACTCAGCCGTTCCGCATAGCTATGTTGGGTGCTACAGGCGTCGGTAAGACGTCACTGGTGTGTCAGTTCATGACATCCGAGTCACTACACATCTACGACGCTTCCATAGGTGAGTGTGCATTATCRGCTGCAGTTCGTCTGTATATCGTAAGGGTTGGTGGGTCACACGGACCTGGAGGGTTTTGGTCCTCGACGCGAAACTACTGCCGCCGACGGTACAGGTGGGCAACGTTATGGCTTAGGCGTGTTCTTAAAGCGATAATCAGTTAACTCATTAACAAAACAGTGCCGAAAAAAGGAATTAAATAAGGAAAGGGGTGGATGATTATCATAGTGAAAAAATAATATTTTAAATGTTATACAGATTTGTACATAAATGTACATACTTTCCCTGTTGTATACGTGGGTTGAAACCCCTAACCCCCTCTTCATCTTCACACTGCCATATAGCATAATATTATTATGTACGTATTACGATGAATATACCGTGTCAGTAACGATGAAAGGAAAACATTTTTCAAATGTTTATCATACTGCTGTATTCGTCTCTTTTACGCCCATAAAATCTATGATGACAGTATTTGGGTCATGTGCAAAGGTAATCTGAATCACTTTATATGCAATAAATAATAATTAACACTTATGTATTTATTTCCTTTTGATAGTGACAGTTGAAAGGTTTACTATAATCTGTTAAAGTCCATGGAAATTATTATCATCATATTCCTTTGACGACCTGCAGGCACAAAATTATCATTGAATTATTTAAGTACCCACCWTTGGCATTTAACAGTACGGCTACGTTCGCTAAATAAGTTTCTGTATAAGATATCGTTTGCTATTTAAATAATAATAAATGTTCGTTTCGGTACTCAAAAATTAAAATACGAGTGTAAGTACTACTAAACCACTGTAGACTATACTTCGAATTCGTCATTATTTATAGTTATTGGATTTCAATCAAATGTATTCAACTGGAATTTAAATATTTGTTATTCGTGTGAAATTTTTAATACGTGACATCTCGAATAATAATTACTAACGAAATAAAAAATGCGAACGGTACGTCATGTTAACCAAAGCGTAAATAATATATTTTGACAGTAACAAACGAAAATGTTAAAGTAATTAAATACTATTCCTAACAATGGCATTACGACATTAAAATTAAAGACGTCTTATTGGCAATATGTCAAGCATAAAATAAAATTGTTCTTTT